AGATCCTAAGCGCGACTTGAGATCCTTCCCTGGTTAGAACGAGCACGTCGAAGCAACCATAAGCAACGTTTCGTGCACAAATAAATTGACCTAACATGGTGGATATCCCGGCGCACTGCGCCTTAAAGGCAGCATCCAGGCAAGATCCATCCACCCAGATTAGTTGGATGCAACTGCAGTTGGATGCAGTTGCATTGTAGTGTGCAGTTGCACTGCACACTACAATGCAACTGCATCCGTGCAGTTGCAGCTCCTCCCGCTGGCATGACGATGGGGACGAGCAATTCGAAACTCGTCCGCTCATTAAAGAGAGGGTCCCCAACAACCGGGCTCTTGGGAGTTTTGAACAATTTGGACATTACAACTGTAGTCAGGGCCACGGAAAGGCCCCAGAATGGCAGAAACATAAGAGATGAAATTTTACCCGGACGCTGCCTTTAAGCGGCAAATGAATGTAATAATCACAATCAGCACATCAGACAAACAAATTGAACGGATTTTACAACAAATTTGAACAAAAAAGAACTCCTCGTACTCTTACAGGAGACTATAATACATAACAACAAATCAATGTAAGTGTTATTGTCAATATCATTAGATGTTAATGTTTTTAGGACAATGAGTAACTCATCTAAGCAAAACCCTGGAGAAATTGGTGAAAACTTACTGTCTACCGTATACCTAACTAACCTGGCAGACTGCGGTACTTCTATATACCAGAAGATGCCCATCAGCGAGCTGATCCTTGGATTCGGTTGTCCATTCTGAAGTGAGATATGGCAATGCGACGGGGATTCCGGCGCACTCCAGTGATGTGCGGCGCACTTTGCTGGAGTGTGGCGACTTTTTTTGACGAATTATGAGAGGTATTGTACGTGAACAAGTTGGTTATCGTTCTCATAGTAAAAGCAGAAGGGATTCGTATACAAGCTGTCAGGTTTCCCGCCTCTGCCTGAGTCTGGAATTCGATAAATGCTCCTTGACATCATTAGCAGTACAAAATTTCACCTATATGCTTTACAGATGTGGCACAATGTCAGAATTCAAAATTGTAATGTGCAATTGGTGTTTGTACCGAATGCAAACAATGAGCGGCAATGATAGAACATTATATCCAATGTGCATACACGCGATGGCGATAGGAACGTTGCATTGAAGGTTTGAAGAACTGTTGTAGTCAAAAGCCGTGCTCAACTTTTCTATAGATTGGCCAGCACCAACAGCTGGGCTAACACGAAAAAGACAATGTCATAACCAGGGTAAGAGATGTGGCATACGGCCGCCGAATACGGTCTGTGTGTCTTTTTAGAACCCCCCTCCTCCCCCCAACATCATCGCCTACAGGTGTAGTAACAACATGAGGCCTACCAAGCAAGATAAATAATTTCGTAATCAGCACAAAGGGAGGAAAATTTGGTCGAAGTGGTGCCCCCATATGGGATTTATACGGCCTAACTTATAAAGCATAAAACATTGTTTTCACATTCGCTTTTAATATCTGCAAAACGCTTCTAGGAGGGAAGTTACGGAAAATTTTTTACGCAAGGATTTGAACGCGTCACTACGATAAAATCGTTCAAACCTGGGGTCCGTAAGTTCAATTGGGGCCATGGTTCCGGCCAAGGCGCTTTATGCAGCAAATCTTCAGTATAATAAAGTCATGCCAGTCATCATTCCTTTCAAGCTCCAGAAAGACCCCAGCATATGATTTTACCTTAACGAAAGTTTTATTTTTACTTAGAAAGTCCCACACCCCTCGTAAAAGCGCTTTGCAGATACCGAAAGCAGTTTTGGAAAGTAAAAAGGTCATTTTCAGACATGAATTTTGTTTTATAGGTGAGTTAGCTACGTGTTTTTGAACTCATTACAAAGCACTACTCCGTCTTTGACCACAAGGAATCTCACTTCAAAAACCGCCAGACTATGGAAATGGCCAGCCGAAACCTTCTTTGTTTCAAATTTTGCTTCCATGGGTTGTGCTTCAGCGATTGTTATCAGAATGAAGAAGAGTAGAGACAGACGAGATTTTGGCTGGCTCCTAGTATAGTTTGGTGATCATCTGAAGTGGGATTGTCCATGTGGACAAAGAAGAAGTAGTGCTTTTTCTTGAGTACAAAAGGCGGTAGTTGACACACCTTCAAAATAAAGTTAATCGTGTTCGAGTGACCATTTCACTTGGGTTGTCCAATATCTGGAAACCTCACAATTCGCTAGGACTCGATTCACAGGGTCACATGACATGCTATTTATGAAAATGATACTCATTATGGTTTTTGATTTTGATTTGTCCACAATCCTCTTCCAAACGGCCGTTGGTACCAAACGCTCGCAACGCTTTTCCTTGTACAAGCACTTTTTTTAGCACAGGAAACATACGATTTCTTTGGTTTTCATGGCTATAAGTAGGATGCGAAGTTGTTGGAAGTTCTTTCAGCTGTTGGTCCTCTTCTTCAAGTCCGCATACTTCATGTAAGCGTTTTTTGGTGATGAAATCGGGATGATGGAGTAGTAAAAAAACCATGTTTGGATAGTGACAGGCATTGACTCCTATAAATCTTGACCATGAAAGTGTGTGATGTAGCGGCTTCATAGGTTTTGCGGAGTAAACCCTATCAGAGTATACCTTAGACGTAGCGATCCATTGATACACCGCCGAGAGCCAGGCCTTGCAAAAAGCAGGTGAAAAATCGGTTCCAGAATTCAGCAGGTCATAACTTCTTCTTCAAGAGCTTTCAGATGACATCAGTAATTGGGGGTTCGATGCTTCTTGCAGCTTAAACCGGAAGACGAGGGGGACAGATTTCATCATGGTCCCCTTTCCCACCCATTAATATATTGGCCGAAGGCCGCCAGAGGAGACTGAGTAATGAAAAATCCTTCCCCCCCCCCCCCCGCCGTTCTGCTGTATGCAAGACCTAGGAGAGAGCGTCGATAATTAAGTATTCAGAATATCCCGCCGAAACTCTGCATAGTGCAATTACTTTACTTGACAAACACGGATATCATGTGTATTTGTTGAAGCAGCGTCTCCGTATTTAGGGTGATCCTTATACCGTAAGCCTCCGGAATCTTACGAAAAGGCCCTACCCATGCAGATTCTTAGTTATTTTCGTAGTTTTGTACCGATCCCTAATCCTTTTCCGCGTAAGGCTCAATGTGATTGCGATCATCGATGCACGCGCATTGGGCTTTCTCAGTTATTTTTCTCCCTTCAAACGCTCTTTGATATTTGCTGTTATTTCCAATCACCTAGAACGATTTTGGTAAGTAGGGATTGTTTAACTGGTTTGAGGCCTTGGGTCATCCTCGCTGGCAAACAGCCGCAAACTCAGCGACTATCGCGATCATGCAGAAGCCCTATATCGTACAACTACCAAAACCTTCACCGCGATGTTTATTTGACGCCCGGTGAGAGATCTCGTGGTCGTCAATCATAAAACTACCTGCACTATTAGCTCACGTCATAACCTGATGACAATATTTGAGTGCGTCACTTCCAGTTGGAGACAACTCATAAAAAATGTCGCGAAACCTAGTTAACGACCTATCAAAGTGGCTCATTGGAACTGTAGCTACACAGTGCTTCGATTCTGCTAGGCACCGCACATATCGTTGAAATATAGGCTTTCGCGATGAAATCTCATCTCTTGCATTCATTATGAGAAAAAAGATTAGTTCGAGTTTAGATAACACAAATTCATAAGCAACTATACAGCTGTATTTTTTCTCCTCACTCGCTGTCCATATAGATGATCTCGCCAAGAAAAACCATCGCGTGGACTAACAGGGATAGATAAACAATAATCGTGCTTTTAAAAAGTGTTATGTATCCTGTTGACTGCTTGTCTGTTACCCGCGGAAAGATCTAAGAAATAGTCTCGTTAAAATAAATGCAAAAAGCTATAACATCAGATACTGATCACTGACTAACCATTAGACTGCCACTTCTAGCACTCATGACATTGGCTATGCTGAAGGTCCCTAACCAATCGTACACTAACGAGTACGATCGGCAATTCGCGGGGCTCGGTACGAGGTGGCTTAAGGAAAATGCAAAAAAAAAACGAAGTCCCCCTTGACTTTCGCAAGATACAAAGTCCGCTTTGACCCTAAACTCTAGATGTGAAAAAACCCTCAAAAAACGAAACGTCGACTAGAAAAGGACGTAACCCTAAGTTGTGTTTTTCGGCCACAAAAACTACACCTCCTTTGCTTTTTGCCCAAAAAACGATATCCATCATGCTTATACGCTACCTGTGCCGAGCCCTTGCAATTCGCCCACATTGAAACTCCAGTTGGAAGCCATTGACGAAAGACATTGAAGTAAAAAAGTTATAAACAGTCGTACAATTTGCACATTTTTGGGACGCCCTATGTTACCGAATTAATGTAAGATTTATTTTCAAGAGTATAAGGTTGTTCAAATAGCATGCCCTCGTATTATTGCACCGCTGTGGCACAGCGCCTAACTTCGGGTAGACTCGAATGTGTTAAGGCCTCGGGCATACTTCATACTAAGTCGCGATGCGATTTGGCAATTTGCCAGAAATCTTCAAATGCACACTACGATGCACAATGTGTATGATTTTCGCAGCCTGTTAAAATGTTCTATCTTCAGTACGACCACGATGCGCATACGGTAAGTCATAAGCATATGGAGCATAGCCGAATCGCTTCATTGAAACGCGCAAGCTGTGGGTCTAAGAGATAACAATCGTATTGGAATGTGCAGTTTGATTAAAATTCTGAAGCTTGCTAATGAGGCAATCTGTAATGTACTCGTATCATCAAAAAGTGACACACGAAGATTGGCAGAGAAGAGACATAAAAGATCTCGAACATGATTCATATATTTACTCGTTATTTACATTATTCATTCATTATGTACAATTCGCATTAGCAGTTGACTATAAACAGAAAAAAGGCACTATCTCTTCTGAGGTTGCAGGAAAGGTCCTGTAGCGTCGGTAGGCGTGTAAACTCTCAGCTATCCCGCGGCGCTAACAAATACAGCACTGAAAGTATCTTTTTACTGCTAGCCTATATATTCTTGGAATGGGACCCATACCCATAAACAGCTAACACGACTATAACGGAAAAAGCGAAAATATCTGCCATTTTTTGGTATCTGGTGCAGTCGCTTTCGAAAAACACTGTAGCATCTAGCGATGGATACATCTGAAGCGAGTAGATTGAAAGCACAGAGTAATAAATGAATATATAAACAGCTTCATGAAGAAGCCAACACCAAGATAAGTTATAGCACAGTTACTTGAGAAATTTCCAGCAGGAAAGAGTAAAGCAAACACAGTTAACGTAGAGAGCACTACGAACTGTTGAGACCACACTGTCCAGCTTTGTTTGCTCTGGTTACGATCGATGCCGGAGCAGCGGTCGGCTCTGAACGAAAGGTAAGAGGAACTGAGCGATGTCTACCACGGGAAATGTCGTCTCATGACTTGAAGATGAAAACTTTCATCAAACACAGCTTCACTATCAAAAGTTATTTTTTAGCATTTTGCTTTTAGCATGAATGTTCCAATCTTGACCAAGTTCACTTGATCACATCATGCCCAACGCAAAATAAGCGATATTAAGATGTAGTCAAAAGCTCAGTCATGTGGGATTACTTGATTGGAATGAGAAAATCTTGGGAATAAGACCCTAGCATTGAAAGCCACCTACATATCTTGCCGCGGGTGAAGATTTATTGGTACTAAACTTTTTGAATGAGGTTATCAAAAAATTGCGCTACTTGACTGGAAATTAGTTTTTTTTACGAACTCAAATGCGAGCAGCTAATAACGACTGTGACTGTTAGTGCTCAGCTTATTTGCATAAAGCCCAGTCAACCTTGAACCACAAGACAGCTTAGCTCACCAGGGTTGCAAACAGTGATTTTGAGAAATTCTCTCCATTACATTTATAGGCCCTTGATGGAATGACTTTTCGAACAGCTTCACATTCTTTGGCTATCTTGCCGACATAAGTATCAACCAAAAAAATATTCGCCTGCGACTATACGAAATTTCAAGAATTCGTGTTCTAATTAAGTTATGAAAACCGCAGCGTCGTCGGTGGGTTAATATTGACTGCAATGAAGAAAATTGGCAAAATATGTAGTGCGTTACGCATAACTGCAATTTGAACAATCTAAAAAGAGGATGACCGCAATGCAACTAGATCACCCTCTTAGCGCAGCCAGGCACCTGTTGCTGCTTCCGGCTTGAAGCCCATGTCTATCTTGATGATTCGATCAAAAACAGCTAAACTGTGCCCTCCTTGTGTTTTGATAAACAGCGGCTTCCAAAAAATAGCAAACAGCGAGAGGTGGTTCTAATGCAGACAAAACACTGGCAATGGGGAGGATATAGGGGTCAGGGGATCATATGATAACCATAAATTCATTCTTTTTCGTTCAAACATGAGCGTCAGCTTCCTAAACTTTCCTGCGAACGGAAGAACTTTGCAGCAACTCAAACATCTTCCAAAAAAAAACTCTGAGAATTGTCTGCATTCCCTTGTAACAGTTTAATAGTGGTATAGTATATAAACATAGTCGACATCATAAAATAACAAGTTCCGAAAGTAATCATTCAAATTTTGCAGGTGAACGCTAGTTCATAGGAATTTGATTTTATCCTATCGACATTCCATAGTTTTAGCAATGGCAAAGAAATCAAACTGCTAGAATCATTATGCGAGAAAGGCTAAGTTCATTTTGGAAAACACTCAGAAAGTGATTGCATTGCACAAATGTCAATAGCAAAACAAAAGCAGTGCTCTGATAACAAGAGTTTTTTCCTATAATCAGATGGCGTTCAGTTTTGCTGTTATTGCTTTTAAGAGATCATATTCGACTTCTCGTTTTGCAAATCTCGAAAGAAAAATGCTTACTACAAAGGAAAATCGGTCAGGAAGAAGTTTATAGGGCAAGATTCAAATAATTCAAGAAGTTTTGTCGAATCAATCACTTGCTTCATATATTACGCTATTAATAAAGCTTTCCACGAAAACATTTCAAGGATAATTCTATCTATTCCTGTCGCCATATACCTTTCTCTCGTTCATCTCCTCAAATTCACATCGCTTTATGTCGTTTCAGTTTGGCAAAAAATGTAATCCGCTTCCAGCAAGGAGATATTTATATCACTGAATACAGAATCTCTTTATAACTTCTCAAGTGGGCGTTGGTGCAGAATTTTTTGGAGCTGTCCTGCTAACCAACTAAGCGATAGCCTCCAAAATTAGAATTCGGTCAACTGGGTCTCGTGACACTTCGATATACACAATAACGAGAGGATAAATGTGATTGACAATGGAGGCATTTCTTGAAATACACATAACAGTTTACTAAAAGAATAATTCAGCAAAGGAGCTGCTATGTTGTATATGAGGACATTTGGGACAAAAGTCGCATAAAGGAACACTGAATGGATATATATGCGATAAATCAATCGAATTGTATAATCACATTTTTTGCAAAATACTTGTTTTTCGTGGAGCGGCACAACCAAAATCTCATAATGCGCTTTACAGTTCATTGTGGCTATCAAAAAAGTGACATATACAATGGGTTTGGAGATTCGGAATAGGATTGATAATGCGTAAGGGGAGCCTCAGAGTGTGTCCGTTGCATCGGCAAAATTTTGGATATACCAAAGGATTCTAGTTGCCTCGTTATTTGGCAATGTCCCAGTTGTTTACACTTCCTCGTAAACGCATTTTGATATACAAATATGGTGCTTTTGTATCAAATGACAAAAGGTACCGCGCTGCAATTCGCAAATGGTGAGTTTGAATACAGGTGGCAAACAAAGTCTAACAATAAGAGGTCTTCATTTCAAGACCGGTTCGTTCTACCCTTTTTTGAGCTAGCGATTACTTGGTATTAAGAATAATGTATGAATATTAATCTAACCTAGGTCAAAGATTTGACCAGCTTAAAGCAGCCACATTACAATGTTCAACACACAAAGAAATATATCTGAAGAATTTCAAAACATATGCGTGCCTTCTGCTCTGTAACATTGTTTCGCTTTCTATTTAGGGGTTGAATGAAGCCAAGTGTACAGAAGAAAGTGGAGTAACCTGGCGCCGCTCGAAATTTTGCCTTGACTGTATTGCTACCTGACAGTGGCAGTCGCTGCTTTTCTCGAAGAGGAAGGGGATGGGGAGGAAGCGACAAGAATTTCTCTTACTGAGGAAGGGAAAGCTTTTTCGGACAACAGATTTGGGGTGCTCGAAACGATGGATTTCGGAAAATTTCAACGAAAATCGGATTACAAGGTTAATGAAGTTATAGTTTACTTTCTCAAAAATCACATATTCTGAAAGTTGTAAATCATGTAGACTTCTTTTAAAATTAAGGGCTTTGCTCACCTTCCTTTGAGCCGTCATGGATTCCCAAGAAGTGCTGTATAAACTTCCACACTTGACGGGTGATTTAAAATGGCTGACAAGAGAGCGACAAACAGTGTGCTTCAATATTTGTCATCAATATCTAATGATCGAATAGTAATGAGTAATTTTTTGTGTTTGAAGTATCATATGACTTTATGACAAGCGTTGTGCGAGAAGGGTGAGTGTAGTACATGAATTTGTTGATGAGAATGCAAGGCCTTTCTTCCACCATAAATATCTTCTTCGATGAGTCTTAAAACCTATGGAAACGGCAAAATAGTGCCTCTCAGCCTGGCATTCTTCCAGGACAGTGAAATTGAAAAAACAAGAATTACAAAATTTTCTTTACCAATTCGGTCATGAAGCATTGTGGTTGTATATTAGGTTGGTGCAAAAGTAATGCATGTTTTTCATTCCCTCTTCTCAGAACATCTTTCCTCCATAAAACTTCTTATTTTGGAAATTGCTTAACACATTATCAAGAAGCCTTATTCATCTATCCAATGGCCGTTGTGATAAGCTTCTAGTCTCATTCGTGAAAAATTTGTAGAGCTTCACACAATTGCGCTCAAAACCAGCCATTCACTTTCCTGGCCAGAAATCAAGTGCGAATGAAGGCATATTTTTGAAGTTCAGCTACTATATGTTGTAGAAACTGTCCGCCCTATGCGTATAGTTTACCATAATAATTTTTAGAGATTACCTAGATTGAGCGGTGCTTCAACATGGGTAGTCGTTTTGCTCATTTTGTGACCCACAAATTTCTTTTGAAGAAGGCAATCGCCAAATCTTTGCTCATTTCTGTAAGAGCAAGGGTAGGTCTCCTGTTGAAGCTTTTACAAAACCTCAGGCTGTTCAGTACGCAGAAAATCAGAAAAACTTCATATGGGACTTTGAGGCCCACGAAAAAATGTTGAAAAAACTGACGATTTCAAATTTTGATCTTTTTTCTCCCAGATTGAGTATAGGTAGAAGTGCGCTGTATTGCCGAAGGTTTGTTGCCTCTGAGGGCCCTTATCGCGCCAAAAAATATAGATTTTTTAGAAAGTTATAGCACGTCCAAGTGAGAACTCGCAAAACGCGCTTTTTTGCACCAACCTAATTTCAACTGTGTGCAGTTTCGCCGCACTATTCTGATACCACGTATCTCTTACGACATAAATCTAACTCTGAATATCTAAAATTCAACGCAGTACCGCACTATTCTGATACCACGTATCTCTTGCGACGTAAATCTAACTCTGAATATCTGGAATTTAACGCAGTACTGCAGTTGCAGTTTAACAAAGCTATTGCCTAAATCTGTTCGATTTTGTATCCTAATTCACATCAGATTTTTGTTATTTAGTTCTGTGAGTTTTGTTTCGTATGCTTTATATGTTTGTATAAAGATAGAATTGTATGATATCATGAACAAATAGCTCTATACAAATTGCGGGCGTTGTACAATTGACATCTAACAGCATGCGAGCTGGCGATTTAGAGTATTTTCGGAAAGCTAGTGAATCAGGAAGTCAGAACTTGATTTACAAAAATAAATGAAGTGCTAAACGTACGAAAAAGTGCGGTTGCTAAAAGGTGAGATTTATGAACGGTACATCTAGCTTTCCATTTAGACGTCTCCTACTGGGTGGTGTGCTCGGTCCAAAATATTTTGTAGTTTGAACTTTTATCATTCCAATTTGGTAAAAGCAGTGAAAAACAAAAAGAATTGACTGGGTGAAATGAGTGTTGCTGTTTTCGCAATATCACGACGCCATAATAGTTTCCGCACAATCCCACGAGGCAATAGTATTCTTGAGAACAGCTGAGTAGGAATAAAGGTGTTGTTTGATAGAATCTATTATTTTACCGCATACAAGAACAACTTTGTTCTCTTTTTCTACTACCGCTTATACTGAGCTGACATTTCGTTCTTTAATTGCGCAGGTCAGAAAACAATGACAGTTCAAGACTTTGATACCATAATGCACGAAAAGTTCCATAAATAAATTCAACGAGAATACTTGATACGGAGTTTGGAAAACCCACAGCATACCGCGATCACTGCATGCGAAGAAAGCGCAGAAAAGTACTTCGTACATTTCCTGGGAAAGCTAGAATAGCGAGGTTCATATTAGATGTATCTTTTGGCTCGTTCGGACGCTCATAGAGAAGGCAGTGGAAAGTCCACGACATCTTGATGTGTATGAGAACATTTATTCGCACTTCGCGAAAAAGCTTCAGGAAAGTCTACGAGGAGATTTTGAAAATTTTCTGGAAAAAAGACTTTGTAAGCTCTAAAAACAAGGTGTCGTGGGGTGAACGAGCAATTTTCAATTCCAAATGATCTTTTCAATTCCAAATGATCAATCATTAATGAAAGATTTGATAAAATCTTTGGTTTGCAAAAAGCTCTGAGAACTTACAATGAAGAACCCTTGCCGGTTACCAGAAATTATTCGGGATTTTTTCCGTAAAGAAGGGTTTCGTTAACCATGCCATCCAGTTACTTTCTCACATTTTCAGGATTTTTGCTGGTCTACAACCCCTAATTAGCGATGGCGGTCATTCACATTAATGTATTTAAGAAACATTTTGACTATCAAGATATGAACAAGCTATTCTTAGAATTTTGCAGCTCATTTAAGCCCAACTCCGAGGCCACAGGCCGGACTTGCGAGTCTTTAAAATGGGGAAAAAGAAGCAAGCCTTTCCTATGGGTAATCAAACCTTTTGAAAGGGGATATGATAATGCACACAGTTTGCTTCCGGTACAATGAATCAAAATGATACAGCTTTTGAAAATTCAAATTAGCCCTGCGATTATGCATGCTTGCAGAAAAAGGACATCACAAAACTCGAAGATGGGGCTAATTCCACGCTAAAATACGTATCATTTTTCCCTCGGGTAGACATAGGATGTCTTTGTCGATTTTACAATTATCAGATCATTTATTTATTTGACGAAACTGATTTGTAATATGCATTATAGACTACTAAACTCGTGCAGAACAAAGAATGCATTCTCCAGTTTTATTAGGTTTTCAAAATTTTTACATTTTTTGGATTTTGGTGCAAGACTTTTGCATCAACCAAATAGTTGAATTGGAGGAAGGACACAGTCACAATTTGACAAAGTGTGTATCATGAGTATATCAGTCTCGGAAAAGATTGGACTGTTTAGCATACAAATGAGGCAACATATATGGTTGTCCCTACACTTCATATAGAGGCGGATTGCGGGCTTTCCCTGATTTCAAGGAGGAACCTGTTAAACTTTTTCATAGCTTTTTTTGTACCCTTTCGCTATCAGAAACCGCTACGCATTGAGCTTCCAAAAATCCGCCTCTACACGAATCGTGGAGTGATGATAAACAGAAATGTTAGATACCTGATTGCCGAGGAGCTGGAAGTTGCAACCGGCAGGACTGTGAATGAAAATGCTTTGTTATGTAACTTACGCAGTGTCAATATTCGACAAGCGGAACGTGACCGGTGCAAACATGTTTTGACAACTCAGCAACTGTGAGCGACTAATTGCTTACATGTCAAAGATACCAGTGGCGGTCCAGCATTTCCGGCCGAGGGGGGGGGAGAGATTTTTTTCAATTTAAGGTGCGTGGCGTACGCACTACAAATAATTTTTGGAGCTTCCCCAAATTTTTGCGGGGTCATGACTCCTAAAATCAAAAAAGGGGCTAAACTGAATCTTTCAAAAAAAATTTGAAAATTATTTAAATTATTTACAAGAATAGCAAGTCACTTGCACATTTTTATAATCCATGTAAGTAAATTTCAAAAATTTGGCGGCCCATTAGGAGGCGGGGGGGGGGGGAGGGGGGTAGGTCCCTTGCACTTGTATATACAAGTGCAAGGGACCTACCTATAAGTTAGAAAAGGATGCCAAGTCACAGCGGAAAAATCTGTCTCCTATCCGTGGCAATACTTCCGAAAAAATTCACTAAAAGCAGCGTTCACCCCAAAATCCACAATGCTTAGTTAACTGTACAGTGCATGTGCAGGCCCTAGAAGAACATCAACTGTGTTGGTCGGGTGTCTTCTAATGCTGTTTCCGAGAGGAAAAAACGGACCTGCAAGCTTCTGGATCCTTCGGTGCTCCGCCTCCTTTTCCGGCGCTCCCACCCACCCACGAAATCCCCGAAATTGCCCCGTGACGTGTTCTGACATGTCAAGACGCATCCTGGGTGATGTGAAACTGCTGCTTTCGACGAGGTTTTCTGCTGCATACGACGTAACTAGTGACGGAGGGCTCGTCCTCGTCTATACATAGGACTTCAGAAAAGGGCAATTTTGGGGCTTTCCCGTTATTTACACCTCAAACCGAAAAAAGGACCAAGGAAAGACCCGATAACAATGAAAACATGAGAGTCGAAATTTGGTTGGACGCTGCCTTCAAAATTAATTGAGTATTCATGATACATTACATAATTGAAACCCCAATTAGTGTCGATCTAGAGTTGTCAATATTTAGTAATTCGATAGGTGTTCGTTTGTGATAGTTTTGACAGCATTATCAGTAGCTCATAACTTCTTCTACAAAGCCGTACAATAGACCAAAAGACAGAGTTCAAATCAGCTCTCGTGGCGGCCCTGATAGTAAGCATTTTCAACTCAACTACGCATTGTACCCTCAGATAAGTATTACAAGCAGAAAAGAAAAACAAAAGTATGGAGTATATGGCCGTGTACCTTTCTCAGTCCTTCCTATACGACAACTATAGGACTTCGCAGAAGTTACTGAAGTAAAGACGAAGAAAGTACAACAAAGCTTTGACAACCCAACGCAAATCAATCAATACCAAACTGTATAATGCATCCTTCCCTCATCGAATAAGATTTTCATGGAAATCTTATGAACGTTTCTTCTATATACATTCACCAAACTTCAGCTGAGAATGCAGAACAATTACATAACTGCCTGTAATGAGTTTTATTTCCAATGTTTTCAGATATTCTGAGAGTATCAAGTTCAGTAGTAGTGGACTTGTCACAGTAGTAGGTTACTGCTCGTGTAGGCGATGTTCTCTGGCAATGGGAATTGTTATAAACCTACCTCGCAAAAGTTATGTCAGCCAGCAGTGGCGATGAGATGCTCTTACTCATTGAATCATTAACTTCAGCTCTTTCCATGGTGACTCCGTAGCAACAACAGAGTTATGTCCCTTTCGCTTAGCGTATAATCAACAAGTTCTCCTCATCCGGGATAGAGTGATCGCACGAAATTGTAAGATGCAGGTTTTTTATTGAAGTAATGAAGCAAAATGACAAACGCACTGAGCTGTGCTTCAAATGCTATGGCAGTCACCATGTTGTTATAGGTGAATGAATTTTGATTACTCGGAGTTACCCCAGTCATATTCTTCAAAGACTATAGCTGAATACCTGCAAAAGTCACCGTTTGGGGACCTAAATCAAGTCTTGTATGCTCTCATAATAATTTAGACAAATGATAATTTCGATTCTGGATCAATGCGATTGAGGATAGGGATTGCAGCTAACTTAAGGTTTCGTTATCTTCGTCTCGGATATCATGGAAGTGCTGCTCATTGAACAACAATTTTCCGTGTTACTCAATTTGTCACTTTTATATCTGCCGTGTGAACTACATCTCCACTCTTTTCACTTGAAAGTTCGACTTCATAAATTTTTTTTACCACGTACTCACCAAGTAGTTGCTTTCTTCGCCTCTCTAACTCCCATGAGCTACACGTATATATGATTGTAAAGACGAAAATATCTTGATTACATTCACCACCTATTTGGAAAGCATGTATTTGTATCTCCTTCATTGCTTACGGAGTCCAGAGCATATTGGATTTATGTATCAAAGCATTCCGAAGGGTTCGTTTTCATTAGTAGAATTATTAGAGTGTCTCTTAATTTTTCACCATTTTTGCCCTAAACATCAGCATTTCTCGAGAACTGGGGCACCTACAAAGGATACAAATACATGATCGTACTTCTGTATGTATGGGCCATATGATCAGATGCGTGGGAGGAGCTCAAGACGTCGGGCGGAGTTTGCCTTTTTATCTCGTTCATTTTTTCTTTATTTGTAGCCAAGGAAAAAATTCGATAAGTGTGCAATCGAACGTGCCATGTGTCAAGCATATGCTAGAATAATTGGAGAATTTTTTAGATACTTTAGGGCGGAGATACGATTTTTGAACGAAAATTTCGTTTTCGACTACTATCAAATTTAAGCTTGTTACTTCGCCTGGGATGCGATTTGGGCAGACTTTCAATAGGTATCCTGTAGAGTATGCTTTGCCCTGTCGAATGACTACTCAAGCCACATCAGATGAAGGAAAGATACAAAAAGACGGCGATTGTACTAAAAAAATTATTATGAGACACCCTAATAGAATTCACTTAATGGAGTAATAAAACGAAGTTAAAAATTTGATAATATTACGTGGAACTCGATCAGCAAATAAAAAGGAGCAGGTCACGAATCAAAGCCAAAATGAAACTATTGCAGTCTTGTTGCATCTTTTAGCTCCCGATTTGAAAATAGGCGTTTATTATTCTTCTATGTCAGATTGGAAATCGCGGTAACAACGCTAAAGTTATTCACTGCAAAATGAATCCGGTTTATGAGGATCGACCTAAGAGTAGTCAGTATTCCATTCGGGAAATCGATTATCAGGACCTCCATATTTCCCCCTGCCAGGACTTCTCATGCATGTCTAACTTCGCCACCAGTGACGGTTACCAGTGAACCGCACAATGAAAGCAAATCATCACGTGCACGCAATCTGCGACACCGTTACTCGTGAAGCTGTGCCATAGGTGCGATAGGGAGAGCAGGGTCCCCTTCAGGTGAAGGGGGTTTTGGCTATTTCAGACCTAGAAAAGCAAAGGGAGTATCTGAGCCTTACGAGGATGCTGATGTAAGCTTAAATGCCGAGTAGGGTATGCAAAGGGGGAAAATAAGTGTTACAAAGGTGTATTATGAAGAATTTCTTCCTGCCTTGTTTTTGAAAGGTCATCCAACAGAGACTTTTTTGATTAAGAAAAACTTTATGTTTTATCAATCGACATACCATTTGAAAGTCGGAACACGTAGAATAGACGTAAACCGTCTCTTTTTAGTGTTCCTGTGAATTCCCGTAAAAAAATATCTTGCTGCAGCATCAGCTGGTTTTTTGCGATCAGTTGCACTCCATTTCTGAATGGAAGAGGAAAGCTGGAAAAAAATGTGACGGTCTAGTCTACGTTTACTGGCAAAGTCTTGCTCTGTAACTTAGTCAGACAAGTAGGCGGCTTTATTTATTCTTTGTATATGAATTTCCTCACAAAACACGCATGCTTTTAGATTGAGTACCATACATCTCCGAGTAGAGAGGCGCTAGGGAATAAAAGACGATTTACGTCGAGTTCTCGTTTCTTGAGCTTTCTAAAGGTACACCTTTAGAAAGTATATATATATATATAGACTGTTAGATAAATCTATCTTCAAAAACGGAGTGGAGATATTCACTATTAGCTTTATCAACCCCGCCCCTCAATGGCTTGGCTTTCACGGGTCGTCGTGGTATGACTTTTTTGTGGCGGAAAAGCTTAATGCACCAACAGTTTATATAACATTCGATAGCTAAGAGCACAAGGAATCGACGTAGGCCTTCTCTTTTTTTTTCTAGCTGTTTTACGAAGCTAGATATGAGAAATTTTATCTACGTAGGCCTTCTCTTTTTTTCTAGCTGTTTTACGAAGCTAGATATGACAAATTTTATCTAACTACAGTAACAAATTTGGTGAACTATTTTATGCTTTGTTCTTGAAATAAGGTATTTTTCGAGGCTTCTGTGAATGGAGAGCTCTAAAGAAATCCAAATGCTCCCTTATTTTTATCATGCTCTTCCGAAAGAAGATATAGTTCGATGTTTTTCAGTGAACGTAGAACATTATTGGGCTGACCAGACTTCTTACTCTTGCATAATTCTTCTCTGCGACAATATATATTTATTGAACAATGTTGCTTACTTAAAGAATCAGGTGACCGGCATATTTTTAGGTTTCTTTTGCTATCAAAACTACACTCTGCATGAGACAGGAGTTTTAAGCTTAGTTATTCTCGCAAACGCTGTAAAAGTGCAGTCATGTCATGCACTGACTGAAAAGAATCAGAAGCTGAAGGTCCCAAACAAAATGTGCACCATTTTTAGGCGTTTTATTCTGCCATTACGCCTTGACCCTATTTCGAACCTCAGCTGGAGGGGTCATCCACATGCCGGCTAACTCACGTTGGCCTAAACATATCATTTTTGAGAGCTAACACAGTGATCAGCTAGGTACTACTGCTGACTATGAGGGCGATCTCGTTAACTTGTACAAGCCTAAACCCCACCGACGATCCATGGGTTAAAGGCAGTGGCTCGGGAAATTTGCAATTACGAGCTCTCCATCTTTCGTTGGCTTACTGGATGCCCTGAGTCCAGAGGTGTGCTCGAGAAGTCACGAGCGATTCCCGCAAAATAAGTC